ATACCTTATAAAACCTTAAAGTACCTTGTAAAACTCTTTTAAAATACATTGTAAAACCTTACAAAACACTTGTAAATACCTTGTAAAAAACCTTTAAAATACCTTGTAAATTTTTCCCGCCAAAAATTTTCCCGCCAAAAAAATTTCGCAAAAAAAATTGCGGAATCACTTTTCCCGCAAAAAAATTTTTTTGGCGGGAAAATTTTTTGGCGGGAAAAATTTTTACGGGAAAATTTTACAAGGTTTTTTAAAGGTTTTTACAAGTGTTTTGGCGGGAAAATTGCGAGATCACTTTTCCCGCCAAAAAATATTTTGTATTTTGTGGACCTAATTTTGTTTCAAATAAGGGTAAAATGGTCATTAAAAATTAAAAGAGGGCAAACTTAAAAATGGACTCTCAAAGGGGGCATTTTTGAAAAGGGGTATTGAAAAAGGGGCATTTTTAACAATTTCTCATTAATTAATATCTTTACGATATTATAGAAAGGATTAGTTATGGTTAAGATATTATGTTAAGATTTTTTTGGTAATTAATATCTTTGATTTAAATTTTCGAAATTAAATAATTAATGCCAGTGGCATTGCTTCGTAAATACTTTCAAACTTCAGGATTTATTTGCTAAGTGTACTCCAAAAATGTATATATAGATATAATGAAATGATCTCTTACTTCTTTTATGTAAATTTGCTTTTAAAATCTTTGGGACTTATATAGCCTGTAAAATAGATAACTTTTTATCAATATTTTTATTAGATTTTTAACATGCATGAACATAAAACTGAAAAAATGGTAGTCATGATCACAAATCTTCTACGGAAAATTAATTAAATCATTGCCTCCTTCCGTGAACTTCCTTAATCCCTAGATGCCGTCCCATGTGAGATTCTATCCATGCATATATCATAAAATTAGAACAATACGTATAAGTTATAAAATTGTAGAAAGTAGTAAAGAAAATGGTACCTTGAGAAACTATGGGGAGGGCCAGAAGGGCCATGAGGAGGGTTTGGGCCACCGCATTTGATTTTGCAGCGTTCAAAGCAATTACCGTCGTGGTCATCACAATTCTTTGAACACTTGCGAAAACATCGAATCCAATCTTTTTGAGTCGCTTTTGCTTCTACTGCCACCACAACAATCACCATCATCATTATCACTACTATTGCACTCCATTTCGCCATCTTTTGATCGTTTAACAATCCTACAAAAGCAAACTATGTATTATCTATTGTTTTTTGTCTGATGATAGTTATATTTTTTTTTTTCAAGAAATCAACCTCTATTTATATTACATTTGGTTTAATTGTAGTAGATTTTTTATTTGATAAAATACTTTTCGTAGATTTTTTACCAGCATTTATGTTTGATTTGGTCTTAATTGGTTTATCTTTAAAGTCTTTAGTATTTCTGTTCAAATTTGGGTATGTTTTACAGTATATTAAATTATATAACTGAATGTAGATGTATATTGTTGTGAATGCGGGTCCACTGGTTTTATTTGTTGGTTAAAGGCACTACATATTTTAAAAGAACATATTCATTTTCATTTACTAAAAAATGTTGTGAAAGAAAGTTTTACCTTGTCTCTTTTTACTTTTCTTTTCCTTTATATAAAATAGATTTAATAGCAACAGAGCCGTGTCTAGGATTACAAACACCAGAGGCGATGTTATAAAAAACCTCAACCCATATAAAATAATTTTTTGAAAAAAAATAATATGTGAGACCAAAGCGGGTTAATAGTCCTCTTATAAATGGGAGATCAAATTAGAGGTGCATGTTAACCATATTTTTTCGAAGGATTTAGGATTTTCCCCAAAACTAAACGCTACACAAAATTTAAAAATTTAACAACTTAAAAAAAATAAAAAAAATTATGACTTAATTTTTATTATCTAACCATTTTATATGTATTTTTATAAAACATTTCAATATAATATATTAGTAATTTTTTAGTAATTTATAATAAAAGATTTTTCTTTTTTGGTAAAATATATTAATAGACTTAAATGAAAATTTATGTATTTAATCAGAAATGTTTTTGAGGGAAAGTTTTGTTCAACATTTTCTTTCTTCACTTCCCTTTCCATTACATAGATTTGATAGTTTAATTAATTGCAATTGTCATTTTATTTTGATAATTTAATTATTTTGACATTTTTGCAATTGTTTAACTTAATTATGTGTAAAATATTAAACTTTGTACGTGATAGCTAGCTACAAAGACAATTGGTCGAAAATAGAGCCAATTGGGACTTTAAACATGATCTCTCATCATAGGTCATAGATGATTGTATCAATTTGTATAATTTTTGTATGTTATGACGATGATTCCACATAAGTTAACGATGGCTTCTATCTCATGTATATGCTTCTTGTTCATGTCGAAGGCCTCCATTTCTTATCGATTTTTAAGTGATATTTAACTTGTTGTAAGATCTTCAAACACCGTAACTTTCTCTTCCTTTAATTTTTTGCTTATCTTGGTGATCCACTAGCTAAAACGGTTCTACTTTGCTACCACTAGGAGAACAACCATTTGTTTTTTCTTGCTCTTGAACTATGGAAAATAACTTTAAGTCCTGAACAATTTTCTTTTGTTTGTTTTAGATCTAGTTGAGATTTTTTATTTTTTTCATGAAACCAACCTCTATTTAACTAAGTATTCGATACATTCATCTTTTTTTTTTTTTTAACTTGAGTTGATTTGTTACCGAATTCGTGTTTGGTTTGATCTTATGAGATTATTTGTTAACTTTGAATATGATTTGTTAGCAGATGACATGTTTAATGTTTTGTATTTTTATAACTTGACAGAAAACAATGAGTAGTGATATATTTTATTCTTAAAATAATCGTGATTTGTTTTATGATATGCTACATTATTTCATGATTCATTGCTATATTTGAAAATATAACCAGTAACAGTGAATTTAAATTTTCTTTAAGATAGTAACATATATTTTAATAAAGAAGTTATTTTGTTATTAGAAATAGTTTCTATATATTTATAGAATTTAATACTGCAAAAACATATAAAATTTTGAACATAAATCTGAAGGAAATTAATAGATTAATTGAATCAATCAAAACCAATGCAAACAAATCTACGCTAAGTTTAAGCTAAATGTATTATAAATAGAAGTTGATTTCTTGAAACATAATATAAGAGTCATAAGATTAAAAAAAAAAAAAACTAAGTTTGCTTTTGTAGGATTCTAAGACGATCAAAGATGGCAAAATGGAGTGCAATATTAGTGATACTGATGGTGGTGATTGTTGTGGTGGCAGTAGAAGCAAAATGGAGTGAAAAAGATTTTAGTGATCCTGAATGTTATCGCAAGTGTATAAAGTCTTGTAGGAAACACGACGGTGATTGCTTTGAATTTTGCAGGGTGGTATGCCCAAACCCTCGCCATAGTTCATCACGGTACTATTTATTAACTAATTTATTTTTTATTGTTTTTACAAATATATAATTTTTTTTTTTTTCAAATACAAATATATAACTTAACTTACGTATTGTTCTAATTTTATGATATATGCATGGATAGAAGAATCTCACATGGGATGGAATCAGTGGAAGTTCTCGGAAGGAGAAAATGATAGATATACATTTTCGTCATAGATTTGTTTATCATGTCTACCATTTTTTAAGTGTTATGTTTATGTTAAAATTCTAATAAAAGAATAATTAATAATAAAATGACAAAATAGAAAAATTCTCTATTTTTACAGGCTGTTTAAGTCCCAAAGATTAATCAAAAAAATCTTGAAAGTTACATACAAGAAATAAGAGATTAATACATAATATATACTCCTTCCGTTTCGTTTTAGTTGTCGTTTAAGGTTTTTTCACACAAATTAAGAAAAACATTAAATTTTCTGATTTATCCTTTATTAATATATTTTATAAAAAAATTCATTGGCCAAAACATTAAAACATTAGGGATAAAACTGAAATTTTCACCAAACATTTGCATTGAAAACCTAAAACGACAACTATTATGAAACAAAATTTAAAACATAAAACGACAACTAACTGAAACGGAGGGAGTACAAAACTAGTAACACTAGAATAATTGGTTTTAACGACTTAAGAATGATTTTATTGGAAATTATTGGTCAACATACTTTTAGCCTACCTTACAATATTTTTTTTACACATGAAAAGTATAGTGAATTATATAAACGTATGAGTTCTACAAAAATTTGGGATATATTGTCAACATGCATATACTTGTTCATTTTTGTATGAGAATGCTAATTATTCTTGTTGTTCGTTTATAAAGTCAGTTTTTGCATATGGATGTATATAAAGTTGTTTTTTGCTTGTATTTCAAAATGACGCAAAACTTGTTTGTCAATAATTTTCCTATGATCAATTATTCATTTTAAAGAAATTGTAGTTTCACAATATATCACGTCAATATCATCAAATTTTGCCATCAAATCGCATGGCAACACTAAAATTTTGTTAAATATTTTGTAGTTTTGAGATTAAAAAAAAACCATCATTTCGAGAATATTGGCGCCAAATAGTAATTCTCAAATCTTTTATTTTATCGTTAAATCGTGATTTTTTGTTTAATGGCAAAATCATGATTTAGCAATTCTAGAAAAGAAAATGACATGTGATATATATATATATATATATATATATATATATATATATATATACTAGATTTTAACCTGCGGTATACCGCAGGATGATTTATTTTTTAAAGTTAGTATATATAAAATTTTGTAAATTGTATCTCTTTATAAAATATTTATATTTTATAGTTTACAATTGTTATTAAGTAACGGTATACCATGAGTCCACGGAAAAATTGTTAATAAACTGAGGATTTAATCCGTATTAAAACGGCATGTTAATGATATTTTAAAAATTTTAAATATTGATTCAAATCCATCAGCCATATAAACCCGTTCTGAAATATAACCTATCTCGTGATTTGTTTTCTTAAAGTAGTAATTTAAAAATTTAATAATTATTTATTATATATAAAAGTTTACAAATTATATCATTCTCTAAGACATTTATATTTTAATAAAAGAAGATTTAATCTGTATTAAAGAAGCATGTTAATGATATTTTAAAAGCTTATAAATATTGATTCAAACTCGTCCACAGTATAACTCCGTTCTGAAATATAACCCGTCCTGTGATTTGTTTTTCTAAAAGTAGTAATTTAAAAAATTTAACGATTATTTATTATATATATAAGTTTGCAAATTGTATCATTCTCTAAGACATTTATATTTTATAGTTTACACTTGTTATTAAGTAACACTATACCACGAGACAATTTTTGATTCTATACAATCTTTTCTAAATGAGACTGATTTGATATGTCTAATATTGGTGGTATTAAAAAAATTAAGGATTTAATCCGTAATAAAACAGTGGATTAATGATATTTTTTTTTTTTTTTATTATTATTGTTGATTCAAAAACATGTCCCACCAAACCCGTCCGCCAAAAAAACCATTTATTTTATTAATGTTGATCTTATTTATGATATGATTCTGAATCATTGTCTAAAATTTTTTGTCAATGTGGAATATTGAACACACATTTTTCGTTAATTAGACTATATATGTCCATTTTAAAAATTTCGAATCACAGTGTATGCAGAAGAAAATAATCAATTTTATTTTTTACTTTATGTATTATATGATGATTCAAAACAGTTAAAAACAAATCAAATAAAGATGATAGGAGAATCATAATTCTAAATCTTAATCAAATCTTCTAAATATCTAAATTATTAAATATAAAATATCCGCTGTATGAGTTGGGTTAAAATATAACCCGATCTAACAATCATTTTATGACCAAAATTTGTAAACGGGTCGGATACCCATTGTATTCAAATACATTTTGCCCCACCCGCTAAAAATGTACTTCAAAAATACTAGTATAGATATATAAAAAATACATCTTATAGAAAATAATTTTAACAAAATGTTTTGATTTCTAAAAGAGTTTGTATGCAATTTCTCCATCCAAATTCATCATTGGCAGCATTTAAAAATTTCTAAAAATCTTATGAAAATGAGTTTGTATCCAAATACCAAATTTAATATCTGAACTTACTTGCAAAAATAAACAAACATGTGAACTTACTCATATGCACAAACGAATAGCATAAATGTTAGAACATGGTAAGGGTATAGACCTCAAAAAGCAAAGAAATTCTTTTTCATGAATGCTAGATCCTTAATTTATGTTCCCGATATTGTTACAAAATACAAGTAGATGTTGCCTGAGGCTGCATATAAAAGAAGGTGCTGTTTCAGAGAGTGTAAAGTGAAGAAGATGAGATTGTGTTGCTTAAAATTTTGATAGATTTAATTTAAGGAACGATGGAAAGAGTGTTTGTGGAGAGATGAAACGATTCTATGAATATGTGAAGAATTCCATTAGCTTTGAGTTTATACAATAAGTTTAGGAATATGTTGCAAACTAGTACGTACATTTATGAAACATAATAGGATAACTAGTACAGGTGCTATTCAATACTCAAGAAATAGTCGGGTCCCCACTGCTATACAAATACGCGTTCTCTCTGATAGAAAAAGAGTGGGGCCTTGAGGTTGTTTTGGAAATTACGTCTGAGGGCTTCCTTCTTTTTACAGGGAAATGAGGAAGCCTCTAGACGAGATGGCGTGTTTGGTTTGTTGGACACATGGGCCAACTGTGATTAACAGGTTTTAGATAGTTTTAAATGGGCCTTAAAATTCTTCCCCATTTTATCTCCAAAATTAAATAGTACCCGAAGTCAATTATCAAACAAGTCGTCTTCATCAGTGGCGGCGTTGGAGTAGTCAGAAACCCCTGCATTAATGAGAAGTTTATGTCAACGAATTTAGTTGCTAGGTTCGTGTGAGAAATCATATAATACTCAGATTCTCTTTAGATTTTTTTCGAAAGTAGGCAAATTTTTTGGAGGGAAATTTATTTTGCCTTTTTGGATGGAAAATTTATTATAAGATAAAAAGAAGAAGATGATTGTCAGTTTCGGTAGGTTTTCTAAGTTCCTGAGGACGTACAGATCAGAGAACAAAGAATGGAAGGTGGAATTCAGTACTGAAACAAATTTCCAAATTTTCTTTTAATGTTTCCTATTGTACTGGCCTAGAAACTGATTCTAATTGAATTTCCTTTGCAGTGGATGATATTGTTGTTGTACAGGCTGGAAGATGGATCTTGTTTAGCACAGGTGAATGGGAGTTCAAGATGGATTCTTATCGGCAGGGGAGGGCGTTGAGTTTGATGGGGTTAAAAACTTTCAGGGATTTGGAGCTTAAAGTGAGGCAACTGTACAGAATGGAGAGCAGCTCAATATCAGTAGAGCTTAGCTACATGTTTGAGGACAATTTAGCACTGTTAGCTGGTGTTCAGCCGGGCCCAACAATGATTCGGTGTGATAGGCAGTTTCGAAGCTTTAAATCTTTAAGCATTGATGATAAATCTGTGAACCTGTTCGTGTGTTTTAGAGAAGGCGATGGAGTCTTAGTCGGGCCTACCTACGAAGCTCGAAGGATCGGGAGTTGTTTTGCCATGGGTAGGCAAGCTGGAGAATCTGCAGGTATCGTAGAGGCTGGAGGTAGTTCAAGAGCGACAGAGGGAGTAGGATTTTTTGCTGGACTCTTATCTTCAGTTCAAGACAATAACAGTGTCTATCCTCCAGTTCAAGGCAATAACTCCCAGTTAGCAATCGCCCAGAGTACAGATGTTACTGACAGCTCCGGTGGGTGGGACATAAGCGATGAAATACTGTTAGAAGCCGTAGAAGATGTGGAGAAGGCGTCTAAAACAGATTTGGTTGTTTACACAGGTCTAACCACATCTGTAGCAGTGGAAGATGGAATGGAGAGCAGTGGGGATGAAGAGTGTTCAGAAAACTCCGATGATTCTTATTCTTATAGTGGAGGGAGTCAATCAGAAGATGATGATTACGATTACGAGAACAACATGGTAGGTAGGGTTGAAGCTGGTAGAGAAATTATGGCAGATGAAGATAGTGGCGATGATGATTTTGTTGAGCAGCTCCCGAAAAAGAAAGTCAGACAGAAAGAAAAAGGTAAAGGAATTGAAGAAAGGACTGACAATCTTGCATGTGTAGGAGGTGTTATGACAGAGTTTCTTCACACTTTTCAGAAGGGGATAAGAATTGATGAAGTTTATGGTTATGAGGACATTGAGCCAATGTTTGGAGACAATGATATGGATAGAAAATCAGCTCATGTTGACTTGAGCAAAGAGGATGACAATATGTATGTTGGAAGGACGTTTGAGTCTAGGGAAGATTTCAGGACTGCATTGTCAATATATGCTATAAACCGTGTATTCCGCTTCAAATTTACTAGGTATGAGAAAAAGTACTTGGTAGCTGAATGTTATGATAAAAAATGCTGTGACTGGAGAGTTGTAGCACACCAAGTTGGACAGAGTGAAGAATACGAGGTGACGAAGGCCAAGTTGGAACATATGTGTAATGTTGAGACTAGGAGCAGGTTTTCAAAACATGCAACTTCCAAGGTTGTAGCCGCACTCCTAAGGGCTAAGTATGCGAAGGCGTTTTGTGGTCCAAGAGCAAGAGACTTACCCGATTCTCTGCTGAGGGAGCACAATGTTAGGATGTCGTATTGGAAAGGTTGGAAAGCTAAAGAGCTGGCTGTTGAAACAGCTCAGGGCACATATGAGAGTTCTTTCACCTTGTTGCCGGTATATCTCCATGTCTTACAACTTGCAAACCCTGGGACAGTTTATCATTTGGAAACAGAGTTGGATGAAACTGGGGATGAGCG